ATCAGCTCCAATCACCAAAAGTCGCATAAGATACATACTCAATATTCGCCCACAATCACATGATCAAGCCTCATATTTCCATTGCATTTCACCGATCTTCTCCTCCTGGCTTGATTGGACGGCAGTCTCGATCTCGCGGCATCCTGTCCCGACGGGACTCGAACCTAGACTACGCGACATACGTGCATTTCGATAGAATCCGTATCGCTTTAAAGTGATAATGCGATGATTAGTCTAATTTTCCCAACATATGATGAGTTAACATTTTTCAATTTCACACAGACTCGCCTTCAGCAGCCTCAGTCGGACTCGAGCTCAGGTCGTGGTAGCGCAGCGTCTATTCTCGACGCATTAACTATTTTGCCAAATAGCCGCAAGTGCCCTTGGGTTAGAGCGCGGATGCAAATTTCAACGAAGCCCAGACATTCTGCCATATCCAATGTTGTGGTGGGATTGTCGATGAAGTCGTTGGTGTCGAGATTTTATGCTGCACTACCACAAACCGGGTTCGAGCTAGCTGGGGGTGCTGATGAGACCAGTCGAGACGAGGTTGAAACTGTAGTCCATTCCTGCTTGGAAGGGATAATCGTTTGGCAATGCAAAACTTGGCAAAATGCAAGGGAAGCGTAAAACCAATTCATATGATTGTGGGAAAATTGAACTATCAGTCTCCTTGCCGCCTTAATGAAATAGAGTAACATTGTTAGGGGGACCTGCGTTGAAGAAGAAGAGATTCGTTGGTCGATCTCACCAGAAGAGGACGGATGAAACCCGTTATACTGCAGCCGTTTGGCTTTTAGACGATCTTCATGTTGACGCAGTCCACGAGACTTCCTCCCTCATTTCGGGTGAAAACGGGCTGAGCTTTCGTCCATCATTCGATGGACATCATCAAAGCTGGAACTCATTCTTTTAAAAGTCTCATGTTAACGCTAAAGCAAGAACACTATCCGGCTCTCTCTTACTTCTTATATAGACTTAATCGAGTCAAAAATTAAAAATTGAAAACCTAGATAGATAGATGGATAGATAGATAGATAGATAGATGGATGGATAGGTAGATAGATAGATATTTAGTTAGTTAGTTAGGTGTATATATATATATATATATATATATATATAGAGAGAGAGAGAGAGAGAGAGATAGACAGATAGATATAGAGTGGTTTGGTTACTTTTCTTTCATACTGGTTCTGTGATTTTTGCTTGATTTTTATGAATTTGTTTATTTGTGTGTGTTAGCGTCTATATGCAATACGGTTCCTAAATCAGAGTTGTCAAAGGTTAAAATCGAGCGAAAATTACAGAACCAGATTGAAAGAAAATTAGCCAAAC